GATTTCTTGTGTAGTCTGAAATTTAAAGTAAGTCATATTGTAGCTCTGTCTTTCATAATATTTCTGCAAGTGTCTTATGTAGCACCCAATTACTTAATGTTACAGGCTGAGGAAGCTAACAAATCTTAGTTTAAAGTAAATGGCCATTTTGTATGAAGTTCAAAACCTAGCAAAACAAATCTATGGTGATAGAGGTTGGGTATTAACTGTGAAGACCACATGAGGAAGATTTTTAGGATGCTGGAAATGCTCTGTATTTTTATCTTGGTGATGGTTTTGTTAGTATATACATATTTAAAAATTCATCAAAATGTATACTTATGATTAAAGAAAGGAAGTGAGAAATAAGAGCATTTAAGATGCAGGCTATTTAAGGTACAAGTGAATTATTGGAATATTAGCGGACATGTTGCTTAAGGTGAATGATAGACCTTTCCCCTATTTACTACTTTCTATAGCAAACGATGATTTTTAATTACATAGTTACATATATTCCAATATATAAGTATATAAAGTTAAAATTAAAGGGTTTCTTGCTTAACAGTTGTCTTTTCAAATCCTATGTGTACCTAATGTTCTTTACACATACAGATTTTTAGTACTGTCAAACTGTGTATATTATTCTGAAACTTGCTCTCTTCCCTGCCTTCTACTCAACAACATATAATAGATATCCTTTGGTATCAGATTTCAGATCTATTGAAATCTCTTTAATGATTGTGTAGTCCTCCATAGTATGTTTATACTATAATTTATTTAGCCACTTCCCTAAACATTTCAAGTTATCTTTAGTTTTTTACTAATGGAAATAATTCTATGATGAACTTTTTTCTACATCTCTATTTGTGTATTTCTGCAAGTATTGTTTACAGTAATTCCAGAACTAGAATTTCTAGGTTAAATTTTGATAGCTACTACAAAATTGACCTTCAGTTCCAGCAACTATGAACCATATCTTGCCAGCATTTGCTATTATCAATCTTTTAAAAATGTTCACTGATCCAGTAGACAAAAATTAAATCTCATTGTTTTAATTTGATTTGCTCTGATCACTGGTGGAGTTGAGCATCCTTTCTTGTGTTAATTATAAATTTATGATTCTTTTTTGTTAATTGTGTATGCCTATTTTAATTTAGCTTATTTGGCAGAGGTCTTTATTTAGGACATTAAAACCCTTTTATGTATGTTATAAGTATCTTCCATTCAATTTTTGTCTTTTAGATTTGTATGTCATTTAGCTTGTACTATATGAAGCTATAAATTTTTCCTTTATGACTCCTTCGTTTTATAGTTTCCTTAAGATCATTATGAATACCAGACATGTTCTTATATTTTCTTCTGGTATACTTATAGTTTTATGTTTTACTTTTAAATAATTAATTATCCATGAATTTATTTTATGAGCTAAAGACATATATATTAATATGCATTTTTCTCCAAATGTATTGCCAGTTTTTCCCATAAACTACTGACTGTTCCATCCTTTCCTCACCCATTTGAAAAACCAGTGATACTACTATATGAATGATTGAAGGGTTATAAGAAATGTGATATTTTTCTTTTCATGCAGGGAAGATGTGAGTATTGAAACATATTTCAAGAATATAAGGTAGGGTTTGTAGAAAGGGATAAAAGAATGTGGTTGCCTCGGGAGTTAATTTGGATAGGTTAAAAAGTATAGATGGGATAGTGTAAGAATATACCTAGGACAAACAAATACAGACATAATGTTTTATTGTGCTTTACAAATATTGTATTGTTTACAAAATAAAAGTTCGTGGCAACCCTGTGTTGAGTGAATCTATCAGTGCCATTTTTCCAAAAGCATGGGCTTACTTAGGATGTGTGTGATACATTTTGGTCATTCTTGTAATATTTCACACTTTTTCATTATTATTATTTCTGTTACAGTGATCTGTGATCAGTGATCACCACTGATGTTACTATTGTAATTGTTTTGGGGCACCACAAACTATGCCCATATAAAACAGCAAACTTAATTGATAAATGTTATGTGTGTTCTGACTGCTCCACGCACCAGCTGTTTCCCCATCTCTGTTTCTCTGCTGGGGCCTGTTATTCCCTGAGGCATAGCAATATTGAAATTAGGCCAGTTAATAACTCTATAATGGCCTGGAACTATTCAAATGACAGGAGGATTCACATGTCTCTCACTTTAAATCAAAAACTAAATATGATTAAGCTTAGTGAGGATGACATGTTGAAAGCTGAGATAGGCCAAAAGCTAGGACTCTTGTACCAAACATTTAGCCAAGTTGTGACTGCAAAAGAGATGTTATAGAAGGAAATTAAAAGTGCTACTCCAGTGGATACATGAATGATAAGAAAGCAAAACAGCTTTCTTGCAGATATGGAGAAAGTTTGAGCAGTCTGGATAGAAGATCTGCCCAGCCATGACATTCCCTTAGTCACTTTGGTATGGTGCTCACTGGCTGCGAAACCATGCCCACAGCCGGCACTCATAGTCTACACGATAGTTTGTGCTGTGCATTGACGATGAATTTGTTTTGCTCTTGTGTGATGATGAAAGCTTTAAAGCACTGGAAGCTTGTTTTACTTTACAGCCAGCTTTACTTGTAATGTAAATCAGAATAGGTAACATATACATATATGTTTTTATTACATTATTTTTAAATGTTCACAATTTTATTTTGATAAATGAAAAATTAGAAAAGTCATATCACAGCTGTTGGCTAAAATCAACGCTCGGTTCATCTGTGGCTATCAACTATAGTGGACGCTCGTACTGAAGTGGTTAAGCCAAAGCCTAATCCAGAGGCCCTGACTCTTTTCCATTCTATGAAAGCTTAGTGGGGTGAGGAACCTGCAGAAGAAAAGGTTGAAGCTAGCAGGGGTCAGTTGGTTCATGAGATTTAAGGAAAGACGCTATCCCTATGAGATAAAAGTGCAATATGAAGTAGCAAGTGCTGATGTAGAAGCTACAGCAAGTGATCCAGATGATCTAGCTAAGATCATTGATGAAGGAAGCTATCCTAACCAACAGATTTTCAAGGTAGATGAAGCAGGCTTCTATTGGGAGATGTCATCTAGGATTTTAATAGCTAGAGAGAAGTCAATGTGTGGCTTCAAAGGACAGGCTGACTCTTGTTAGGGGCTAATGCCACTGATGACATTAAGTTGAAGCCAATGCTCATTTACCATTCTAAAAATCCTAGGGCCCTTAAAAATTATGCTAAATGTACTCTGCCTGTGCTCTATAAATGGAAGAACAAAGCCCAGGTGACAGACAGCACATCTGTTTACAGCATGGTTTACTGCATGTTTTAAGCCCACTGTTGAGACCTGCTGCTCAGAGAAAAAGGTTTCTTTCAAAATATTACTGCTCATTGACAATGTACCTGGTTAGCAAGAGTTCTGATGGAGATGTATGAGGAGATAAATGTTGTTTTGATGCCTGCTGACACAATATACATTCTGTAGCCTATGAATCAAAGAGTCGTTTCAACCTCAAGTCTTATTATTTAAAAAATACATTTTGTAAAAAGACTGTAGCTGCTATAGATAGTGATTCCTCTGATGGATCTAGGCAAAGTAAATTGAAAGCCTTTTGGGAAGGATTCACCATTCTAGATGACATAAAGAACATTTGTGATTTGTGGCAGGTGGCCACAATACCAACATTAACAGGAGTTTGGAAAAAGTGGATTCCAGCCGTCATAGACGAGGTTGAGGGGTTCAAGACTTCAGTGGAGGAAGTAATTGCAAAACTTGTGTAGAGAAAGTAATTACTGATTGTGGTGGAATAGAAAGAGAACTGGAATTAGAAGTGGAACCTGATGATGTGACTGAATTGCTGCAATCTCATGATCAGACTTGAACAGATGAGAATTTGGTTCTCTTGGATGAGCAAAGAATGTGGTTTATTGAGATGTAATCTACTTTTGGTGAAGAGGCTGTGAACATTGTTGAAATGACTAGTATTTCAACTATTACATAAACTTATTTGATAAAATAGTGGCATGATTTGAGAGGATGGGCTCTAATTTTGAAAGAAGTTCTACTGTAGATAAAATACTATCAAACAGTGTCACATACTACAGGGATATCTTTCATGAAAGGAAGAGTCATTTGATGTGGCAGACTTCACTGTTGTCTCATTTTAAGAAATTGCCACAGTCATCTCGACCTTCAGCACCCACCACCCTGATCAGTCAGTAACCATTGTCATCGAGGCAAGACCCTCCACTAGCCAAAGGGTTACTGTTCACTGAAGGCTCAGATGATTGTTAGCATTTTTAGTAATAAAGCATTTTTTAAATTAAGGTAAATATGTTGTTTTTTAAGACATAATGCTATTGTACACTTAATAGACTATAGTATAGTATAAGCATAATTTTTATATGCACTGGGAAACCAGAAAGTCTGTATGACTTGCTTTATTGCTATATACCTGTAGATACTAATAGTTACATAAATAGTACTCAAGGGCTGGAATTCAACAGCTAATTATATTATGCAAAGTGGTATTACAAAGGAATTCTTTGTAGATTTATTTTAATTTATTGCCCATGGCACTGGAATCATCATTAACCATCGTAGAGAAAAATATTTAAGAGTGAGATCTTTTTGATTAACATCAGATTTAAGTATATCTCACATATTTAATCATAGCTTATATATTCAAAGCCATTAATATGTGAAAGATTATTATTTTCAATTTTGGAACAGTTTGAATCTGTGATAATTTTGTACAAACTGTGTGATTCAAAAAAGACTAATGTGAAATACCACATTCAGAGGAAAAAGATTTTCTAGAAAGTTGGTACATGTGTGTAGTTGAATGATTATGGTATACTCTTACTGTCCTAAATTTGAAATAGGGAAATTGGAAATAGGGCTGTCAGTATAATTTGAAATTATTGGCCTGTAATATAGTCATTATAATGAAAAAATATTTTATTTGCTGTATGTCTTCTTTTTTCTCAACCTCTGTCCTTCTTTGCTCTCTTTTGTTACAGATCATACATCAGTCGGTGGTCTGGGAGACAGTTTTTATGAATACTTACTGAAAGCATGGTTGATGTCGGATAAAACAGACCATGAGGCAAGAAGGATGTATGATGATGCTATTGAGGTGATTATTGACTGAGCATTTTCCTTAATGATTGAATATGCAGTGTGTTTGATAGTGACTAGACAAGTATCTTCTAACCATTATATTGTATACATTCTGAAAATGCATACAATTCATATAAGTATTTTATTATATGCATTCACTATAGAGTTTATTAGTATTTTAATAGAAAGCCTCATGCCAAGTCTATTTCTATTTGTGGCATTTTAAAGATATTGTTAAAGGAAGAATTTAGTGTATTTATGAAAATTATATTTTAATTATTAATACTTTTAGTTAATATCTACAGAGACTGGAACAACTTCTGACTCCACATATATTTTCATGAACATTTCTTCTTTCAATTGACCCCTTTAACCTAAGCATTGAGATCCTTTATAGGTAAATAATTATAATAATGGCAGAACACTCACATAGTACTTTCTGTGTGCCACAGCATTGTTCTAACCCTTTTTACATATATGAGATCATTTCATCATTATCCTCACTTTACACATGAGGACCTTAAGGCACAATGAGGTTAAGTAACTTGCTGAAGGTCACATAGCTGGTAAGTGATGGAGTCTAGAACTGAACAATCTGGCTGCAGAGCCTTTACCCTTAACCACTATATTATATTGTTTCATATTTATATAACCTCATACCATGATATTGTGACAGTTTAAAATGGAGCAAGAGTCATCGTAGAAAGCATTTTTATGGGATATTTCCAAGCAAAAACTATGAAACAGAAAAATGTATTAAGTAAGTTAAAAGTGTGTTTAGAAGGCTGTTCACTTTCTGATCCATTATAAACCGATATTCCCTTAATTATTTAATTTACTTTTAAAAAGTTGTATTTTGTATATTACAACATTATTCTGATATAGTCAGGTCTATTTTCACAGTTATAGGGGAGTTTGACCCCCATCCCCCCCAACCCCTGCCATTAAACCAGGGTCCTTCTTACCCATTTTATATCCTTATGTTTTAGGGACCTAATTCCAGTTCCCTATAGTTGTTTTAAAAAATGCAGAGGAGTTGAACTTAATGTGTGGCTGCAGTGTTTTGTCCATTATACGCATTTAATAAGTGTTTGTTGAGGGATTGTGTTAGCTAATAAATTGAACTACATTAAGGTGTAATCAAGAATATAAATTTTAATATATGACTTCTAAAATTCTTTATGAAGTCTTAAATTTTGAAAAGTTGGAGAGTTTTATTCTCTGTTAATAGAATTTAAATCTAGAAGTTTTTCTGAACCAAGAAACGTCCTAATCTAGGAAGAATTTAATATCCTTAGAACCATAGTGTTGAAAATAGCCCTTAGTCATTCCCACTATACTGTGGACTCCTTTGACAGCAGAGTCTAATTTGTTTATCATTATCTTGTCACATAGCACAATATCTGAAACTAGTAGGTGTTCAGTAAGTAGTTGGTAAATGAACAAATGGTATTTAATATTTTTATTTTTGAGAAAATGTGACATGTCATATACCATATAATCATTTTTCTTCTTAGTTTGATGTTTTCTTATAATAGTCCTAATCTAAGGCCATTTTTTCTCTTCATTGCTTAATTTTTGCCATAGGAAAACATTATTTTATATTTTCATTGCTTTTTAAATTATATACATTTTGAAAGGCATGATATCTGTCATATTTTTAGAGAGAAGAAAGCCATATAGGCAATTTTAGGAGTCCATAAGTAAATTACTGGTAAGAAGCCATCTTTACCCAACTTTTGCTTTAGTACTAGTAAGTCTGTGGGAATATGTTTAGATACATTTTAATTATAACATGGTAATATTTATGTTATAATGAACAGAAATGACAAAAATGTTGCATAAAAATTTAGAACAATAAGTATGGATTCATTCTTTAGGCATTTATGGAATATGTACATGCAGAAAACATGGTAGTATTGTGAGGTCCACAAAGATGAAAAACAATTGCCCCTGTACTAAAAAAACTAATATTTTCATTTGTGGTCCAGAGTACTACAGTTAAAAGAAAACAACAAAAACTTGTAATATAATTGTAGTCTCTTATCATTTTGGTTATTAACCATCTCTCATCCCTCTAACAGGTCAAATACAATTACCTAAGAGCATCATTCATTTATAAAATTACTTATTAATTAAATGTTTATTGAGTGTTTATTGCATTATAGGCCTTTTGGTATATAAGATGATATATATGGCCTAGTCCCTTCAGTTCTGTAAAATGTGTATGATTATAACAGAGAATATAGGGTACATTTTTCCAAAGCAGATTGTTATTGAGCTTGTCAGAGAACAACTCACAGTAAAAATGTGGATTAATTTTTGTATGACACATTCCTTTTTATTGTGAGAAAGGAAAGTATACTCACTAATCATATTCAGTATTTTCTACCAAAGAAAACTTACTACAATTCTTATCCTTTTCCATAGAAATAACCCTAAAGGCAGAGAATTAATCCATAGACCCTCTCAGCAAAGTCTGAGAACATAGTCCAAAGGAGCAGAGCTCTTAAAAATCTCATTTTTAAAATGAAATGTGGTTATTATACTCTCTCTTATATTTAAGTTCAATATAGACTATTTCCCTCACCATCCCCACATCTTTAGAGTAAATTGACATTTCAGGAAGATGGACTGTGTTTGTCATGTGGCCTCTCTTATTCATGGCACACCGTCCAAAACAATTGCCTAAGTTTGAGAAATAAGGGACTAAAGAGTTAAAGGATAAGTATTTAAACTTTTACGTTTTGAAAGGTTATATATAAGATTGCTCACCTAATGGTACTTTATAAAGCACTTTGCCAAGTGCTATAGTTTCATAGAAATGAGAAACTAAGTATTAAATTATATTTTTATAACTTAAATATTCTTCCTGTTCAGTAATTTATATATTATTTATTTATTTATTTTTTATATTTATTATTATTTATTTATTTATTATGTTGAAATAGAAATAAATTGGTAAAGCCTTTTGGTTAAAACATCATCGTGATCTCAATTAACTGATTATTATGAATTTCATTTAGCTCAAGAAACAAAGTCTATAATGGTAGGTGTATTAAGAAAGGTAATTCTTGACCAATCTCTCCTCTTCTACTGATTAGGGTATTTGTTTCACATTATATGCAGTTTGATCACTTACTCCAAAACTTACTTATTGTAAGTTAAGTCTCCCAATTTGGAAAGTTGTACTTTATAAAATATCATATTACCAAGGTTTTATGATAGCCAGAAAATATAATAAGTTTGAGACTAATGGTTTGCTTCTAAAATTTGAGTATCTTCTCTTTCCTTAGTAGGCTATAGAAAAACTCTTATTAAGCAAGTCCCGTGGAGGTCTTGTCTTTATTGGAGAATGGAAGAATGGGCACTTGGAAAAGAAGATGGGGCATTTGGCCTGCTTTGCTGGGGGAATGTTTGCACTAGGAGCAGATGGTTCCAGAATGGATAAAGCTGGTCATTATTTAGAGCTGGGGGCGGAAATTGCACGTACATGTCATGAGTCGTATGACAGAACTGGTAAGAATATTAATAAGGCTAATTACTTAGTCTAAAATAACCTCTAAGTTAAAATGTGTCAGGAATTAGAAGGAGAATATATAGGCACTTTTCACTTCCAAATAGTTTAACACAGTAAATCATTTTCTTAAAAACCTGAATTTTTAATTCCAGAAATGTGTTTCTACATCATCTTTTGAAATTTTGAATTCTGCTACTGTTTTTGTTAAAGATTTGAAGTAATTTTAAAAATGGAGAAGTAGGATATTTGGATATTGGAATAACATTATTTATTTTAATGTAGTAAGAATCCACTTTAGCCATTTATTTCAACTTTTCTAAAACCAGTTACTTAAGGAACACAAAATTGACTGATTTAGGTTATATTGCCTTGCCTACCCTCTTGTGAAAATTAGAATAACCAAAAGATAATTGTAGTTATCTTGCATATATAATGGTATCTAGCTAAGTAGTCATTTGTCTCTTAGTTCACCAGTAATTTGTGGAGTATTTTTATGCCTTTAATTAAAAGATCCTCTGATGTTACTTTGAGCAATTATGTAATATTCTGAACTTCAGTGTCCTTACCTGGAAATGAGATGATTCTTTACGATAACAAAAATTGTTTTGGGGGGTAGTGAAAAATCTTACGATTTTATCTATAAAGTATAATTATATGTATAGTCATAAATAGATATACAGTATATATTTTTTATTAAAATTTGATAGAGGAAGAAGGCAATTAGGTTTTTAAAAGCCCCTACAAAGGCTCCTGAAGGGTTCAGTAATGATAAAAGGGTGAGAAACACTGAAGTAACTTCAAGATTTTCTCTGAATTTAAAAATGTGTGTTTTTGCCAGTCATGGCTGTAGTCCCAGCTACTCCAGAGTCTGAGGTGAGAAGATTACTTGAGGCTAGGAGTTTCAGGTTGTAGTACACCATGGTTACTCTTGTGAGTAGCCATTGCACTCTAGCCTGGGCAACATGGCGAGACCCTGTCTCTTAAAAAAATAATAATAAAATAAAAATGTGTGCTTCTGTGTGAAATAATGGATAAATGATTTCCCTGAAAGCCTAGAAACTAGTAATTTCTGTTTGTGATTTCAGAAGTTGAATTGTTGCTTTTATCAAATAACTGAATTTGTTTTAGGATTAATTTGTCATCAGGTGCCACGATGCAGAAATGATTGGCTTAAAATTTATCCTCGTTCATAGATAGGTCAAGTTATTTTTATATAATAAAGAACTAAACTTATAGTGAAATTGATCCTTCAGTTTCTCATTAACTAAATTAGGGGTTCCATTTCTTGAACAAATATAGCTAAGTAAAAGGATATTGAAATAGTGTTATTTTAGGGTGGTTTCAGTGTTGGTAGGTAACAAATATAAGTCAGTGATGTGAGTCTTACAGAAAGAAGCTAAATTAAATTGTCATATTGATATAGGGTGTCAATTATACACTTAAAATATAGCTAAAATTAGTAAAACATTGAGGACCAAAATGAATATTCAGTGTTTATATTAAGATCCATGATAATAAGGATTGTTGTTATCTAGCTTTTGACCGTAAATCAAATGATAATTCTAGAACAGTAGGATTTCATATAACAGACATACTAAAAATTTGACATATCATGGGTATTATAATTACTTATTTTACTCCATTAAACATGAAGCACTCATTATATGTCAGGTATTATGCAGAATGCTTACAGGTTAAAGTATGAGTAGGATATATTCCCTGCTTTTTAGAAATTCATAGAATACCAGTTATAAAAGACTTTCCTTATATTTCTGACTTTCACATTTCAAAATGACATTGCTGAAGTTATAGTAATATCTACATGAGGTTGATTCTCATTCTGATTGTCATTTTCACATTGCAAGTTTATAAACTTGTGACCCTCTTTGTCATGACATACCCCAAAAAGATTACTATTTGATTTGTGTCCTGTGTTTTCAAGTCTTTCACTATTTTTACTTGTCTTTAATTTCAACTTAGCTCCTTTAATTAAAAAGTACAATCCTAGTTTTGCTAACTTCTCAGCAGGTTATTACAGCCCCTCCTGTGTTTTCTTGTGACTGTGCTATAATTTTTTTAGCCATTATTTTTAAAAATACTCTTGTCAGTAGTTATTACAACTATATCTGTACTATACTTATTGCCTTGGAATTTCATTTTTCATTTGCTGTTGGAATTAGAATTACCATTAATTTAAAATTTGGCAATCTTAATATATTCTACCATATTGGTGAGTGTGGCCTATTTTAATGTTTAGCTAGGTTAGTAGGAAACGTTACTGAATCCGTTCATGAAACTGAACAGTAACTCAATAGTAGTTTTAAACATTATTATGTCTGCATGAGAAGCTAGGTTGATGATTGATGTATTATTGTGGTGTATTTTGAGGAATAATGAAAAATTGGTGCCAAACCTGATCTTAGATTTTTAAAATAAAGTCCTTTCTTTTTTGGGGGGGTAGGGAGGGTCCTACAGATTTCTTTTTTTTTTCTAATTGTGGAACATTATTAAAATATTGAATATTATGAGATTTAATTTACTGTATACTGAAATTTGGCAAACTGCCTTCCCATGACCATGTGCTATCACATTTCAGGGAAGAAATTTAATCTGTTAGGTGCATATAACATATCCAATGGACAAAGGATCCATTGGATGGTGGAGTATCAGACATATTTGAAGAGTTTATACAACTGTTTTTTCCTTAAAGGCAGTTAATAGGAGAGAATGATACAGAAAAATAGTTCTTCCTTTACTTTACTTCCTTCCTTTATGCTTTTTTCTTTTTGTTGAATTTCTTTTGTTGATTTGAGTGTGTTTATTTTTCCATATCTGCAGATTCTACCCATCTTGAAGGACTTGTATGAATTACATTTCTATAAGACTTTACAAACTAATATCTCTGTGCCTTCTTTGAACTTTTGTTTTGTTGTCTTACTGTTAACCTTTATCACATTTGCTATTTTGCTGTAATTTTTTATTTGTACCTCTTTTTTTTTTTAACATACATTAAATGATTTTTTTTTACTCTATAGAGTTCTTTTCATAAGCACTAATTTATTGTTTGACTCAACTTTTACTTTTGGATATATTATTTATCTTTTAAAAGTAAAATCAAATATTAAGAGGTAACTTAAGAGAGGAAATGCAATTAAGTGCAAGGTAAAATGTTATAATTTTTTTTTACAATATTTCTTAAATAAAAGAGTACCTAAGAAATAATGTCCTTGGATATATGAAACCCATGACGTAGCCAAAATAGTGGATAATTGATGTGATATATACACACACACACACACACACATATATATAAAGAGAGCGATATCTCAAATATATCTATCTGATATGATAGATACCAGATCTATCAAACTTGTACATTTTTACTCACTAACTCTTTATAGGACAAATATGTTATCTTTTTGGTGTGTTTTATTTGTGAAGTTATGAATGACCAATAAGCCAAATATGATTTTCAGATATGCCATATTAGTTTCATACAACCAATTTCTACCCCATTTCAGGTGATTTTATCATTATAATTATAAAAGTTATCTAATTTACAGTTAGCCTTAAGATTAACATTTGAAAACTCCATCTAATCACCTGTTAGCACTAATAGTCATTGAAGAAGGAAGAACACAAGAAATGCAGAAAAAAGACCTATCTTTTGTGTTAGATTAGTATCATCTTAATGCTTACAATGTTTGACTTTTTTAAATTTATTTTTTAATTGTATATATTTAAGGTATACAACATGATGTGTTGAGATACACACACGGTAAAATAATTACTACAATCAAGCAAGTTAACTTATCTATTACCTTACAAGTTAACTTTTTTTGTGTTTATATGTGGTAAGAGCACCTAAAATCTATTCTCTTAACACATTTTCATCATTCAATATAATATTATTAACTGAAGTCTTTATGCTGTACGTTTTTTATCTAGACTTATTTATCCTACATAACTGCAAGTTTGTACCCTTTGACCTACCTTTCCCCATTTCCTTCTCCTCCCTATCCTTGGTAACCACCATCCTTCTTTCTGTTTGCATGTATTTGAGTTTTTGTAGATTCCACACATAAGTGAGATCATATAATATTCTTCTTTCTGTCTGACTCATTTCATGTAATGTGATGTTCTCCACATTCACCTGTGTTGTCGAAAATGGCAGTATCTCCTTTTTTCAGGTTGACTAGTATTTCATTGTGTGTGTGTATATATATATATATCACAATTGCTTTATCCATTCATCTGTCACTGAACACTTAGTTATTTCTATATCTTTACTAGTGTGAATAATGCCGCAGTGAACATGAGAGTGAAGATATTTCTACAAGGTACCAATTTCATTTCCGATGGGTGTATACCCAGCAGAAGTATTGCTGGGTCCTGTGGTAATTCTGTATTTTTGTTTGTTTGTTTTGTTTTTTAAACAGAGTCTCACTCTGTTGCCCTGGCTAGAGTGCTGTGGCATCAGCCTAGGTCACAGCAGCCTCAAACTCCTGGGCTCAAGTAATCCTTCTGCCTCAGCCTCCTGAGTAACTGGGACTACAGGCATGAGGCACCATGCCCAGCTAATATTTTTTTCTATATATTTTTAGTTGGCTAATTAATTTCTTTCTATATTTAGTAGAGATGGGGTCTAGCTCTTGTTCAGGCTGGTTTCGAACTCCTGACCTTGAGCTATCCTCCCGCCTCGGCCTCCCAGAGTGCTAAGATTACAGGAGTGAGCCACCATGCCCTGCTGGTAATTCTGTTTTTAATTTTTCGAACCGCATACTGTTTTCCATAATGGCTATACCAATTTACATTGCCACCAACTATACACACCCTCGCCAATACTTGTTGTCTCGTCTTATTGGTAATAGCCATCCTAACAGATGTGAGATGATATCTCATTGTGGTTTAGATTTGGATTTCCCTGATGATTAGTGATGTTGAGCATTTTTCTATATACCTATTGGCCATTTTTATGTCTTTTTTGGAAATGTGTATTCAGGTCCTTTGCCCCCTTTTTAATTTGGTTATTTGGTTTTTTGCTGTGGAGTTGTGTGAGTTTTATATATATTTTGGACATTAAGCTATTATTAGATACATGGCCTACACATCTTTTTTCCTAGTCTGTAGGCTGCCTTTTCATTTTGTTAATTGTTTCCTTTCCTGTGAAGAAGCTTCTTAGTTTGAGGTAGTCCCACTTGTTTATTTTTGCTTTTGTTACCTGAGTTTTTGATGTGATATTCAAAATATCATTTCCAAGGCCAGTATCTAGGAGCTTTCCCCCTGCATTTTTTTAGGAATGTTACAGAGTTTCAAGTTTTTGCTTAGATCTTTAATCCAGTTTGAGTTGATTTTTGTGTATGTTGTAAGATAAGGATCGAGCTTTATTCTTTTGTGTGTGAATGTCCAGTTTTCAGCACCATTTATTGAAGAGACTACCCTTTCCTTATTGTGTCTTCTTGGTGGATTTTTGAAAAATGTACTTGGGTTTATTTCTGGGATGTCTATTCTGTTCCCTTGGTCTATATGTCTGTTTTTATGCTAGTATCTCATTAGATGCAGGAAAAACATTTGACAAAGTTCAACATCTTTTCATAATAAAAATTCTTAAAAAAACTAGTATAGAATGAAATTTTCTCAACATAATAAAGGCCATATATGAAGCTCTCACATAATATCTAATCAAGGGGGAAAAAACTGAGAACTTTTTCTCTAATACCAGGTATTCAAAGATGCCTCTTCTTGCCACTTCTATTCAACATAGAACTGAAAGTACTAGCAAGAGCAATCATACAAGAAAAAGAAATAAAAGGCATCCAAATAACAAAGGAAGAAGTAAAATTATCTCTATTTGCAGGTGACATGGTCTTATATGTAGAAAACCTTTGGTTCCACAAAAAGTCTGTTAGAACTAATAAATGAATTCATTTATTAGTAGCAGAACACAAAATTGATATACAAAAAGTAATTGCATTTTTCATCCCAGTAACTATCTATCCAAAAAAGAAACCAAGAAAACAGTCCCATTTATGATAGCTTCAAAAAGAATAAGATGCTTAGGAATCAATTTAACTAGAGAAGTGAGAGATCTGTGCACTGAAAACCAAAAAACACTGATACAAGAAATTGAAGGTGACACACACAAATGGAAAGATATCTCATGTTTATGGATTGGAAGAATTATTTTTGTTAACATGTCCATAGTACCCAAAGCTTTGTACAGATTCAGTCCAATCTCTATCAAAATTTCTATGGTGTTTCTCACAAAAATAGAAAAAAAAAACAATTTTAAAATTTATATGGAACCACAAAAGACTGTGAATAGCCACAGCAGTCTTGAAAAATTAAAAGTTGGAGGCATCACAATTCTTGATTTCAAATTATATTATAAAACTATAGTAATCAAAACAGTAAGCATAGAAACAAACACAGACTTCTATAGTCATTTTAAAGTGTTTATTAAATAGCTAATTATATTTCATACTATGCCAGACCTTGTCATTAAGCTGGACAGACATTTTCTAACAAACTATTGATAATTTGATGATTATTCCTAACCTCGGATCCCTTTGAGGAATGGCCAAAGCTTTACACAAAAAGTTTTGCATGCAATTTCAGAGGCTTCTTAGATGTAGCACTATCTCCCTCTTCCAAGGCCTACAGTAGAGTTCCTGACTCTCAAGTTAAGAACTCCTGCTTGATTTCTGCTCTAGTTCTCTAAGGCTTGGAAGTAAACAGACTGGTTATTAATTCTTCTGCATCACATGTTTTGCTCTTAATAGAGCTATCTGCTATCACTATAGTGTTTTTGGTTTTCTGTTTTTTGTGAGGATGATAAGTAAGAAAGGGTCTATTTTCATCTCCTTTGAATTCTGATTATTAGAGCTTACATTGCTGTTCCTGTTGAAATATGGCCACAGCTATGGCATGATTTTATTTAGGCTCTCCTACTGTTATAGTTCTTGTGCTATACTTTCTCTGCTGAAAAAAAATGTTCATCATTTCTCAGAAGAGGTGAGAGACCTTGTAACTTTTAACTTTTGCTACTGGTACAACGTAATAACAAGAAAGAAAGAAAGGTGGCAGCTGAGAGTTGTAATTGTGTGTGACCCCACCATCCCAGTGGCAGATGACCTTATATTGCCCAGGTTTACAGTACTGAGTATGATTAGAAAGAGATCTGTTTTGGCCCATTTTGTGCTGCTACAACAGAACACCCGAGACTGGGTAATTTATCAAGAATGGAAATTTATTTCTCATAATTTTGGAGACTAAAAGTCCAAGATCAAGGCACCAGCATTTAGTCTATGGTGAGGGCCTTCTTGCTCACATGGCAGAAGTCAGAAGGGCAAGTTAACCAAATGCTCCATGAAGCCTCTATTAAAAGGGCCGTAATCCTATTAATGAGGGAGGCCTCATGGCCTTAATAGCCTCTTAAAGGCTATGCTTCTTAATACTATCATATTGATAACACCTAAATTTTGGAGGAGTCACATTGAAACCATAGCAAAGTCCTTAAAAAGCATGTAATGCAGTGCTGTATTCTAGTTTGAATGGAGATTATATCCATAGTATATAATGTTGAAGTATATGCATCATGGTCATGTTTTATTCAAATGGATAAATGGGCAAGTTACTGATGAAATTCTTGGTGATTAGCAGTTTAAACCTATTCTTTGCTGCATATACAGGGACTATAGGTGAAGAAAGTTTTTTTAAAACTGGTTTAAATTTTAAAATATATTGTTTTTTTATAAATTATTAGTTTGCTTTAAAAGTATATGGTATACAACTAAATTTAATTCAAGATCTAAGTTTAAAAAATTTTTATTATGTGTGTATTATTGCAAAAGGTCTTTAAAATTATCTTGACTTTTTCAAAAAAAATTTCTGCGCAGTGTAATTATCTGTATCATTTTATTTTGGACCACAATAGACTATGTAATGTGCTTATGTCTAGTTTTGCATTCATTTCCCAAGGATTCCTAGGACTCTTGTTGGTAGAGTTAGATTTAGAAGCATGTTGATATACATTATTCTGAGAAATAATTCATGTCAGAATAATAGGAATATTTATAAGTCTATTTTAAGAAAACCAAATGTGGATCTTTTAAAGTGACTCATTTTGCATGAGTGCAAACAGCAACAATAAAAACAAATAACAAAAATTACTTCATATCCTATTCTTTCAAGGGAGGAAACAGCTCTTGCTACAAACACAAATCATTTATTTTGCTCATTTATTCCTTTTGTCATGTTACAGCATTAAAACTAGGTCCTGAATCATTCAAGTTTGATGGTGCAGTGGAGGCTGTAGCTGTCCGGCAGGCTGAAAAATATTACATCCTCCGTCCTGAAGTAATTGAAACCTATTGGTACCTATGGCGATTCACTCACGATCCAAGATATAGGCAGTGGGGCTGGGAAGCAGCACTGGTAAGTAAGCCAATATTTCATTTTATCTGCAAGAGTGTTAAATGAAGGCATCCTATAGTGCCATGTATCCTCATCCATGTTACCTCATTTTCAGTTACTATAGAGTGATTTTCATTTATCTGACAAAACAGTCAGTTTAAATTTCTTGAGCAGTAGAAATAAACCTTAGGATCCACTTTTGTTCTCTATTAGAACAAATTTTCTACTAGTGTTCACTTATTATTTTTATTGAATAACTATAAGGAGTTATGTAAAAGGCGATTTTTCAGTACAATTGTAAAATAAGTAGTTTAATTCTCTGTACTGTCCTCTTAATGCTTAACCACTAAAAAAAAAAGTCATTGTAAAATGGCCCAGGGTCACAGCCTGGGTTGATGACCTCCTATTTATTTTACCTCGTATTCTGAGTAATTCCTTAGTGGATCACCAGGAGAAGGATCAGTAAATTATTAAAATTTTTCTTGATTGAAAGATAACATACATACATACATATATGTGTGTGTGTGTGTATTTGAAATGAGGAATTTTTAATGGTTAGCAAGTAAAGGAAGCAAATGGTTTACCCTTAAATTATTCTTAAAATACTAGTCTTCAGGGAGCCCCATGGCTATCAATACCTGGGGAAGAAAAAAACCATTAGTCTTCTGTGAAAGTATAGCTTATTCCTGAGGGTAAAGGGTGCTTTTTGTTCTTTGAGATTTACTAATTATGATAAATACTACTACTTATGATGATATTCATATCCAACTTGTTTAACTTAAGCTTGCAGTCTAGATAGAACATCTGAGGACATCCCAGATGAGGTTAAGTAGTTGCAGTAAATTACCCAGACAAAAATATACAAAATATATTTTAGGGCAGGATGTACACCAATTTACATAAAGAGAATGTTCCACAGTAGCAAAGGGGGAGAGAAAGTTGGAGCCATTGTGTAGATAGCCTTACGTGCCAAATCAAGGGTACTTAGTACTTAGTTCAGGAAATAAGACATGTATGCATGTGCAAACACAGCCCCTAACACCCACACTTAGTAACTTCTGTCAAATACTGCATAATTGTTCTCATGTGGAAAGTGGTGATAGAAAGTCCTTTGCTTATCTAAAAAACCATTTGGATCTTCATTTTTCCTTACCATGTCCTACCCATGAAAGCTCCCTAACTTTGAGAATCGATTGCAGAACTACTAAAAGTTTTTCAAGGGGAAGAAAGTATTGAAGGCTTTTTTTAGTGGGAAGTAACAAAACAAAAGGATCTGATTGTAATGCATAAATGGGTGGGTTTTAGAGATCACTGCAATAATCTAGGAATAGTGTGATATCTTGAACTAAGGTGAGGACACTTACAAGTCATTTGTCATTCAGGCCTAGGTAGTCTTCATGGACTTTAACAATAAGAGAATATTAATCGAAGCAAGGGGCTTACACCAGACAGGAACAGATGCAGCATTTATTGATGCTGCTTTTCCCTGCCCCTTGGGTCCAGAATTGAGAGTATAAGCTGCTAGTGAAACTGTGCAGGAGGGTCCTGCCACAGTTGTCAGAAGACAGCCAAACTTGCCTCAGTGGTTTGGAAATAGGACACACACAGACACACACACACTTCTGTTATTAATAGTAGCTTACTAATGCTTATGTAAATCAATCAATTATTTTATGTAAGGGAGATAGATAGGTGAAATAGTCCTGTAGTGAATCTGTTTGACTTGAATGTCCCCTGATATTTAATGGTTCTTACTTATGGGAATCAGGGAGATGTCTCTGAATCATGTGAGGTGGGGGCTGGAAGGTAGGGGCAGAAGCACTTCCTATCGTTGAGAAACATTATAGGACACTTTATCCTTATTCTCGGGTCCTTTTTTCCTATATGCTTTCTTGAAGTATGCCCTACTCTTACCTGTTAAGAAGAGGTTTGACAAGCTCAAATTTCAGCCCATATCTGTCCAAATTTGAATTATATGAGTTAGAATTTTGCTTTCATACCCCAAATGGACATACACAAACTCAAATAATCTTTCAGGAACCATAACTGGAAGAGTTATGTTCTAAATCCAAGTTTCAAAAATGTGCCATGATGACAAGAGGGGGAATCGAAACAAAAGAAGTGGCTTCACGTTGTAAATAGAATTTGCTTGCACATCACTATTGGCCTCTTCTGTTGGGCACGAAGAAAGTAAAGGGAAGGCAGGGAGAGACAGAATGGTGCTATACTGTGTCTTCTGTAGCCTTAGCTGTTCATTTGGATATTCAGACTTCCAAACATGAGTATATTATGCATGAAATCTTACCCCAAGAAATGACTCTAAATGTCTTAAAGATTATTGTGCCTCCCTGTTACTTTCTCAGTATTCTTTAACTGTTGTGATAGTTCATATGGTGGGAAAGAAACATGATCCTTACGAAGAAAGTACTTAAAAACTCTTGTATTCAAAATATGTTTAAAATATTTAGATAGAGAAAAGCTCCAAACCCTTTGGTAAGAAGGTTTTGAAACCCAGCTGTAATCAAAATGGAGCTATAAAATGAACAGTTTGGTTAAATAAACACTTTAGCGTTAATTAGCTTTTCATTAGAGAGGAAGAAGACCAGAGAGTAAGAAAAGCAGCAAGACTAGGAACAGTAAGCTATGGCAGCCAGCAGTGAATAGTAAAATAATCATTCCTTCATTGGACAATATCTCAGGGTTAGGCAGAGTAGAGAAAGAAAAGAACCACATGTACTTTCAACTTTTCATGAATAGCTTAATTCTGGAATGTGATATATCTGTATAAGCAGGATATTTGGTTGCTTTGAATTAAAAATAGAGTTGTAAATAGATTCCATTTGATTCAGTATCTTTCATTTAGGCATGTTCAAAAATGTATAAAGAGATATAAATTAAGAACTTTAGCTCCCAGTCAAGCAGTAAAGCACAGTAGTTAATAATGTGGAGCAAATTACTCTGTGCCTCAGTTTTCCCTTTTGAAAAATACAGCTGTTAACCTAATAGGGCGTGAAATTTAAATGTTACTGCATGTAAAGCTCATAGAACAACCTTCAGCATGTAGTAAATACTTCATAATTGTTAGCTTTTGATATTGTAATTATAATAGATGTGTGGGTGGCTCTTCCTGCCAGTTGGTATACCTATAATGCCTAATTTATGGGATTATGTTAGTACAATGTCTGGCATATAAGTATGTTTGCAGTAAATATATCCTCTTATTGCCATTACTCTAAAGCTGCAGTCTCCAACCCCTAGGCCACAGAGCTCCCCCCACTGTCCGTGGAAAAATTATCTTCCACAAAACTGAGGTTGGAGGGCACATAGCAGGAGATGAGCTGTGAGAGCAAATAAAGCTTCCTCTGTATTTGCAGCCTCTCCCGGTTGCTCTCATTACCACCTGTGCTCCTTCTCCCCCACCCTACCCCATCCGTATGAAAATTGTCTTCCATGAAACCTGTCCCTGGTGCCAAAAACGTTGGGAACCACTGCATAGAGAGCTGCTTTGTAATACCTTTTTAGCATATTGTGGATTATTGTTTGTCCTTCAAAGTGACAAAATTGCAGTTCAAGTTTTTCATTCAAACAGAACTCCATCTTGATTTGTCAAAATTAATGAGACGTTATGGTGCCAGACAGGTCCTTAAAAGCTTAAAGAGTTTTAGAGAGGGAGAAATTCCATAGGAAACAGCTTGTTTCTAGTGTGAATTAATTTTTCTAGTATAAGAATACTTCCTTTTGAAAATGTTATTCTTAAACCATCGAATTTTCATACAGATCTCTGAATTTTTTACTGTTGTCCTTCAAAGTTTCATTTTCTTTCAAAACTCATAGAATTTCTTTCAAATTCTATGAAATTGATTCTTTTGTCTGATCTTTTTTCATAGGCCATTGAAAAGTATTGCCGAGTCAGTGGTGGATTTTCTGGGATCAAGGATGTATATTCCTCTACTCCTACACATGATGATGTACAGCAAAGCTTCTTTCTTGCTGAAACATTAAAGTAAGTAGATAACTTTAAAAATTCTTTAATCGTAACCTGGTTTGATCACTAGATGATGGATATGACTATGTGATATGTTACACATATTACATTTATTTTATTACAAATATCTTTTTATGTAATTGGATCTGTAAATGTTTGACTACATCTCAAGAAGAATGAGTTAGACTATAAGGTAGATAGTTTATCAATTAAGTAAGTGTTTAGTACCTTTAAAATCACCTGGAAGGCTCTCAAAACAGATACCTGGGCCCAGTACCCATAGAGCTTCAGTAGATCTGGGGTGGGGCCTAAGAATTTGCATTTCTGACAAACTCCCAGGTGATACTGACACCCAAGCTCCCTGTTCTAGCTAATGAAATCTGTTAAGAATAATCATGGAGTTTTGATGGTGCTAAATTGTATATTGCCCATAGCCATTCATCCTCCCAGTGAGGTTTCTCATAAAGATACACAAAAAAGGAATGATGGAAAAATAAGTAAACAACTTTATTATTTGGGATAATACTCAAAACCCCAGATAGAGCTCTCTGTAAACTGACCTGGAAGAAGGTGAAGACTGTAAACGTGTCTACTTTCCTAATAACCTACAATGTAAATATCTTTTCATACTGTCTCTTAAATTTCTTATTAGTTGCTTGTGTATCTGTACCTGAATGCCTCATAAACACTTCATTTGTTCAACAGTGTTTATTACCAGGCACTGTTCAAGTCACTTGGATATATTAGTAGACAAAAAGGACCAAAAAAAAAAATCCTACTCTCCTGGATTTTACATTCTAGTATACTTGTAGTTTACATTCTGATATATTACAATTGAAACATACATGTCTCAAACTAAGTTTCTTATCCTAAGTGCCCATTTTATTCCAGTTTTTCTTTATTATCCCTAGTACTGTTATTTTCCCATCTTTTCAGTTTTATACATTAGTCATTTCTGTCTCCTCCTAATATATCACTAAGTCTTTCTGTTATATCGCTTTCTTGTATTACTCCCTCCTTTCCGTATCTACAGTTGACCCTAATCCAGACCCTCATAACTGCTAAGATGGTTTAGAATATCTACCTGGTACTCAGTTTCCTACCTCTGGGCATTCCTTATTCTCATTTATCCTGTGTGATTAGGCTTGAGAGTGTAAGATAGTTGAAAGAACACTGGACTAAAAGAAATTAATAGGAACCTTAGTTATACACTTATTACATTCTAGCTGAATGAACATGTCAAAATAAAATTTCTTTCAATTTACATATCTGTAATCTGTGGAATTTGACTCAGATTTTGTAGGATCTCCCCCCACCTTTTTTTTAAATTTCAAGACTTCAGAAAAACTGGAAGATAATACAATGAGTATTTGTATGTTCTTCACCAGGTCCTCTCCCTCTCCCTCTCCCTCTCCCTCTCCCCCTCTTCTCCCCCTCCCCTCCCCCTCCCCCTCCCTCTCCATACATATATATATGTATACAGTTATACTTATTTAAATTTCTTTTTTTGGTAAACAATTTGAGAGTTAGTCACCAACATTATGATATTCTGCAGTAGCTTTCAAGAAAAGGGCATTATCTTACACAATCTCAATTCACTTATCACACTTGGGAACCTTAATATTCATACAATACTGTTGTCTAATATATAGTCCCATTTTCAAGTTTCTCTAATTGTTCCAATAATGGACTTTAGAAGTATTTTTTCTGTTTCAATGCATGATTTAGTATGAAATCATTTGCTGCGTTTGATTGTCATGCTCTTTAGTTTCCTTCAATCTAGAACAAAGTTTCCCTGCTCTTTTGTCTTTTATGAAATTAACATTTTTTAAATACTCAGGCTAGTTGCTTTGAAGAATGTTCTTCAATTTAGATTTTTCTGATTGCTTTCTCATAATCAGATTGAGGTTAAACATTTTTGGTACAAATGACATATTCTTATGATTACACCCTATAAAGAGATACATGATAACAGTTTAGCCCATTAATGGTGATTTTAAGTTTGATCCTAGGTTAAATTTGATAAATCTGCTTATTGTCAAATAATCTTTTTCCTTTTTGTAATTAACTTCTCTGTGAAGTGATAACTTTGAGACTGTGTGAATATTCTTTTTCTTGTAAATTTCATCCTTAAACCAAACTAATCTGCATTCAAATGTTTGCATATATATAAAGTTTGTTCCTTTGCATTTAATTGTCTGTTTTGTATTTCTCTGCTTCTGGCAAGAATGCCTTTACCTTTTCTATCAATTAATGCTGCTCTCTTATTTCTAAATTCAGTTTAAATCTTACCGATTGTCAACTGGCTTTTATAATTAATTCTCAAGTGCCTCATCTTGTAGACTTTGAGCACTTAAGCCCCTGGCATAGGGCTGGAAATAGATGGTAGTCTGCCTAGTCTCCTTCCATGGTCTATATGGAATATTACCAGTTAATCTTGGTACTTTTCCCTGCCAAATTCTGGGAGAATCCTTCTCAAGGCAGCAATACATTAGGTAACCAGTCGTGTGTGTGTGTGTGTGTGTGTGTGTGTGTGTGTGTGTGTGTGTGTGTGTGTGTGTGTGTGTGTGCGTGCATGCTACAATATTCTTTTTCAGAAAAGCATAAACATTTGAATCAATAAAAGTGAGAAAGATCAAATGAAGAAACATACAGATAATTATAACAACACCTAGGCTGAAAAAAATTGATCACAGTTGAGCATACATTCAGCATTGAGCTTCCTGGCAGCTAAAGCAAAAGGAATCATTCTGTACAATGTCATTGTCATATTTGAGAGTCGAGGGAGCTATTACTTTGACAAATGAGACAAAATTTTTGCTACTGCTAAATTATGACTTAAATTGCATAATTCATTATAAAAATATTGGCCTATTAAGCAAACCATATGAAATTACCCTTTTAAAAAGCTGGAATCATTTGAATATTGACAATGTCATATGATTCAACCTAATACATAATAGTAATGGCAAATATTTTCTAACAGTGATGTTACAGAAGATGCAAAAATGCTCTTAGTATGACATACTCTTTATAAAAAGCTGATGGCATAATATTAAAGGGCAATTGAGTGAAGTCATTCTTGTAAAGATCTAAGTTAATACAGTTGTAGGTTTATAGTTGTCTTATTCCAAAGATAGAACTTAAAACTTTATAGAGGGTTAGTTCAAAGAGACTTGTATCATAAGCTAACTGTTAATTTGTATATTCTGTCAAGTGGTTGAAATTTATTGTAAATTCATTAAAGGGCAGCAATCCACGTATTTTGACTACCAGAGATAGAACCAACTGGCATGACTGTGGTGTAACATTTAATGAAAAAGCCTGTATTCCTGACCTAAGTAGAGGGCCATTTTACCTTTTACATGTTTCATGGCTGCTATATTATTGAGTAGCTATAGCTATAGATATACTTCTTTCCCCAGAATAAGAGGGGCTAGGTCCTCTGTTTCTTTTGTTTCCCTCAATGGTTCCTAATTTGTTTATTCACTGAGCATATATACAAATGGCATAACAAAAAACTATGTAGTGAGGAAGGTCAAAGATAGATTCCTTCAAAGCCTCTTTCCTTAAAATGTTATTATATTCTCGAATAGAAAATAAAACACATGCAATATAGATAATAAATTTTAAATATATTAAGTGCATGAGAGAAATGTTAACAAATGCAAAAAAAGTCTTTTAGAGAAGGAGGAGTTTGCTTAACCTGAAAAACATAAAGGAATACTTCATAGAAGTGGTGGCATTTAAACCAGACTTAAAGGCAGAATGGGCAAAAATAGGATGAATTGGTGTTTAGGGCAGTGGCTATAAGGCAGACAATGGAATATTAAGAATGAGATAAGAGAGCTCTAAAGGTGGGATTGGCAAGCCTTAATATCTTATTAGATACAGGGACATTTAGTAAGAATGAAGAATTAGAGATAATATTCAAGTTTCTAGTTCCCAACCTGACTACGATTTCTAATCAGCATTTTAGTGTCTTACTTTTAAATATTAATAAACAGTGTTGACCTAGAAATGTTTATCAAACTATAGGTAAGATTTGTGCATGTTTGTATGTGAATGTTATACGTTTATTTTTTAAACTTTATTTTAAAAATAAAATATAAATATAATAAGATAATTTAAGAAAATATTCCAGAACTGAAGGACATGAGATTCCAGCTTGGAAGAAAGAAACCATCAAGATCCCAGCACAGCAGATGAAAACAGACCCACATCATGTACAACACCATGGAATTTCTGAACCCTTAGATAAAGGAAAGATCTAACAGCTTCCAAAGAGAGGGAGAATAAAAGTCTTACAGATCTGGGTTCAGAGTGGCTTCAGACTTCTCAAGTATAGTCATTTAAGCAGGAAGCAGTGGAGCAGTTCATTCAAAATTATGAGAGAAAATTAATTCCAACCTAGAATTCTAAGCTTTTAACCAAGTAAGATCTCAAAAATCAACTTCCACATCCTCTTTCTCAGTAAGTTTTTGGAGGATATGCTCCTTCAAAACTGGATATAAACCAAAAGGAAAGACATGAATACAGGGAACAAGTTAAAAGAAGATTAACAGGATAATCCATCAACACTGAATAGGACAGAGGCTCTGGGCGAGATTTCTTCAAGGTTAAATTTGTAGAATGTTTATATCTAAATATTTTGAGAGGAAATTAGACAGTTGGTAAAGATTTTAGGCACATTATTAGTGATATTATAATAAATACAGTTAGCCTGCTTTTCAGTTGAGGGAGGGAATTATGCAAGAAAGGAAAAGCCATGAATAACTTTCAGTTAACATATGAAATTGCTTAAAGACACTTGTTTGGAGTCTTGATTGTTTTGTAAGAGTGGGCAAATGATATCTTCTGTGACATTTCTCCAATCGTGAGAAAGAGAAATATCTTCTTTGATAACAGGTTTGCTTCCTCCATGAATTCTCTGTTCATTGGTTTTAGTGAAATTGCAGTTGATTAAAAGTCCCTTAGGGAAAAAGAATTCTAAGGAACATAGCAGATATAACACCAAG